GATATAATATCTGATTTATTTGAATCTATATGCTTGTACATATATTTTCATTCCTATTTTTCTATATTTATACTGATCATAGAGAAAATAATGAATTATTTATTATTTTTTTCTCCTATATGTTTGCAGATATATTTAAATTTTTCTATATTGGAAAGATACAAAATAAGTTTTTTTTATATATTATTTTTCTATATATAATATCGAAACCAATATAATTAATATTCGATTTACTCTAAACTATGTGCTTGTACATTTATTTTTTATTCCTTATTTATGTATCTTGATAACATAGAGAATAATATATTGTTTGACTTTTATACAACTATATGCTTCTAGTCATATATTTCTATTTCTTTATATCGAATACATAGAAAATAATTTTTTTAATCTGTTATTGTCCTATATTGATAATAAAAAAGTACTTTTATTTTATTTGTTATCTTTCTGTATATATAATATAAAAAAAATACAATATTTGATTTATTTTAAATAGTATGATTGTAAATTTATTTCTCATTCTTTGTTTTTCTATATATTGATATCGATAATATAGTAAATAATATATAATGTTACTTTTATACTACTATATGCTTGGATATATATTTCTATTTTTCTATATTGAAAATATAGAAAAGAATTTTTTAATTTATAATTTTTGTTGACTGTTACTTTATTGTCTTTATTATTTAACGATGACTTCCAGGTCATGTACTGATGAATACCTTCACAAATAAAAATTTTCTTTACAGTGTGCAGTCAATTTGAATTATATTTGATATATCAAGATTCAACAATATCAATAATGTAAATAATGTGTAGCTGTGAAATATCTATTGTAATCTTACTATATGATCTTATATGATCATACAAGACTGTAATGTTCGCTCATATGTAGACCTTAGTGTAAGATTTTATGTAAAATTGTAGAGACGACGATTTTCCATACGATTTTCCGTATGATCGTATATGATCAGGTACGATATTACTATAAGATCTGATAGTAACTTGTAAGAACCTGCGATTAATCTTAGAATCTGATTGTTTGACCTGAGTGTAATTATTTTGATTGCATTTTTTAACTGATGTCTGTCAATATAGGAAAAGTCCGATCGAAAAAACCTCCATAATTCTCTTTCTATATTGAAGCTATGCTCATTTATAACATCAAATATAGATACGTACCAAAACGATTTAGATCTTCTGTTTTGAATCTATCGAGCAATTCTAAAAGTTCAATATCAGATGCTAAGAAAACAAAGTAAAATAATTAAGTTCATAAAAAAATAATAAAAATAATTACTGACGTGCAAGTGCAAATGCATCATTAATATCAATTTTTGCTTGTTCGTAATGATTCAATTTATAATGTGATTCAGCTCGTTGTTTTAATGCAATCACACATGTGGAATCTTTATCAAGAGCAGATGTAGCTTCCATAATTGCACCTAAAATGAGACAACAAGCCATCAAAAATGTAACACTTAATATGATTTATATAATAAAAGTCATAAAAACAAAAACTTTCCCTATATCATCTCTTGTTTTTATCGAAATAGAAACCGATACCGATCTCGCTTTTTCTTACCGTTTAGTTAGCTAGTATATCGAACGACTCCTTCTCCCGCTGTTCGCGAAAAAAATGCCATGACTTTCTATTTTGGAATATTTTTTGGTAACAATTAACTAGAAAATTAAGAGTTTTTGAAAAAATTTTCTAATGTTCCAGTAGATTTTTTTACTCAAAAACCAGTTTTCAGGTGCTTAATTCTTGAAATTCACTCGACTTCCCAAAACAAAATTTTCGAAAGCCGATTCTCTTTTTTGATTTGGCCTAGAAATTTTTTTTGTGGATAACCCTTTATTCAGACTAGTGAGAAGTATTATATTTATCTCCTTGTTCCCATATCTTATGCAAATAATATGTCTATTAATTGTTATACTATGATATTATCGATATTCTGTATGACGCCTTCCATAATTTTTAACAACCTTGTTCAAGTTTCTGTGAAAAGACATGCAGATACTGTAGGTAACTTCCAAACAGTTCAATCATGAGAGTCAAAAGGGATGCACAGAGTAGTTTAGAATCTCTCTATGAGCTCGAGCGGCCGTTCGAGGAAGTTTTTCTCAGACTGTGAAACTTTCGAAAAACTATTGTGTTGAGGAAAATGAAAATATATTTTTCAAAAGTCACGCATAATTTTTTTTTTCTAGGAATACAATGAGTAGAATCAGAAGGAATCCTCAGATAAATATTGAGCCTACTAAGATTTTATATTATTAGAGTATTAAATTTTTAATATTTTTTTTCTGATTATTTCTTTTTTTTTTGTCTAATCTAATTTTATTAGGTTTGACTAGAGAAACGTCATTTAAATATGAATGTTAAACGATGGAACAACGGATTCAGACATTTCAACTTGTCAAAAGGTCTTGTGAGGCGATCATTTTTTTCTCGTATTTTACCTGTGCAGATCTCAATATTTGCTCATAGAACATAAATTTCTTGCTTAAGATATTCAAATATTTAATGAGTATAAAAACAAAGGTCTGACTCGCTCCTGTTTTTCTTTTTCATTAGATTCAGTATAACAAACTTACGATCATAATAGTGTAATTTATTGCTGCATTTTGCCATTGATGCTAGAATGACCGACTTTAGATGTGAATCAATATCATCTTCATAGATGATAAGTATATTTCCATAAAGCTAAACAAACATTAACATAAATACAGTGTTTCATAAGCGTTGAGGAGCGACAAAATTAGTTTATATACAGGTAAACAATAATCCTTCAGTGAATTTTTTTTCATATCAGCTTTGAGTACGCGTGACAATCTTTGAAATGAAATATTGTTAGATAATATATTTTGTTGTCATAGTAAACAATATAAACATAAATAACTGTTTTTAAAGATTTTTTAACAAAATGATGAACATATTCTATATAAAAATCAGCATATTAGAAACTAATAATTATTTATTTTATTCATTTATTCGGCACTCATCACGAACGACTAATTATATATTTAGTCAAGCTATAAACTCGGTAACCCGATTGAAATGAATAAAATATATGAAAATGTGGCACGAAAAATGAAAAATAAAGAAGCATTATTGGATATTTGAACTGTTGATAAATTATTTGATAATCGAATTTTACTTGAACCTGATAAAGATAAATTTGCTCACGTATGATGTACTGAGAATCTAAGCAAAATATTAAAGAAAAAAAATACGAAGAGAACAATATTCAAGCTTTAAACAACTGAAAAACTAAATGTTACAAAGAATGAAAGAAATCTTAATAATTGTAAAAAATGATTAATAAAATTTTACAGATACCTGACTAATTAATAAAAATTCATAGATAAAAATACTTAGTAGTTGAATAATATTATTATCCAATCAGACTAATATAGGTATTCATAAGATAGAACGTTAGATTTTTTTTAAATAAAATATCATGTTGATAGATTGCACAAAATCTATTTTCATATTCTTGTGTTTATATTTTTATTATTATCAGAGATATCATTTAATAGTATGCCGTTTGAAAGACTGTCACCCCTACTCAATGCTCATGTAAAAACATTCGGCTAGGGATTATTCTTTGTTTGTATATCAACTAATTTTGCCACGCATCAAGATTTATGAAACATCCTGTGTATTTTATAGTTATGAAGAAAGAAAATACATACTGTGTGAGCTCTATTGTAATCTTCATGGAAAAGACCTTTATGACCTTCCGATAAAGCTTTATCGTAACCCTGATTAAGTAAAGCTTTATCAGCTTCTGATAAAGGAAGAAATGCCATATCCATTTAAAATAAATCTAAAAAAATGAACAACGTACATCATGGAAAAAAAAGTATTTTATAAGGTGTCATTTTATTTTGTTTGTGAGTATTCCTTTAACTAGTGTTCGGTCACATATGCAGAAATACTTTGCAACTAAATTGTTTAATAGAAGAAAATTGATTTTCCATTTTTCTTAGGCGGTACTTTATTGCCTGTGGTTGACGACAAAAAAATTCAACGGGAATACTACTGTTTCTTTGAGAAAATCTCAGTTACAAAGTTCTTCCGTATACACAATGAAATACCAACTAAAAGAATATCTTTACTTCTCTAGCATTGCTACTCTGCTCGATTGACTTCATTGTCTTATTTTAGTAATTCTATCTTATTCATCTGCTTCTCTGACATCTGTTTGAATCAGTTCGATTATCCAATGCGACCCATTGATAGGTCGTTCCTTGTAACAATTCTTATCGATTCAATTAGACTATATATATAGAGGGAGCCACTTATCAAGAGCTCATGCACTGTATTAACAAATTCTGTTGTTTAGACTCAGCAAATGCGAAATATGAGAATATTGTTGTATTTCATGAGAGTAATAGCATTGTATTTGTCATATTCTTGACCATTTTTTTGCGTATTTTCTCAGAATGGATATTTATCAAATTCATAAAATTTAATTGACACCCAGGCGAAGAATTCCAGACTCAAATTCTATGGATTGCTCCAAATACTCCAATGATATCCCATAGGAATCTGACAACTTCCGATAGGATCTTGTTGGAATTCTTGGTATTAGATTTCGATAGGAAGTTGTCGGATCCGCTAGTTGGAAAATGTTGAATACACTAAAGATCCGACGGGATCCAGTAGAATTTATATCTGAATATTGGACATTGTTTCTTCCATCCTCTCCTTGTCATCTTTCTCTCCTATTTTCTTCTGATCGTGCAATTAGTTGCAAATGAACACATAAATCTAGTTTATTTTAATTTTTATTAAATTCAATTATTAAATAAGAAATTAAAAAATAGCAGTAAAATAGAATAATAGACAATAAAATACAATAAAATAAAAATGCTATGAAATGTAATGAAAATAAATTAAATCCAATACTAATATTAAAAAATAAAACGACAATACAAATAAAATAAATAAAATAAAGTATCTACAGATGCTTCGAAATTCTTGAGTAATATTTATATAAAATGACTTACAAAGATTTGACAATTGATTTCAGTGAAACATAGACTAATTTTTTTAGACCAAGCTGATATAATTTATTTTTGATATTGGATGATTTTACTAAATTACCTATTGATGCGTAAACATTAGAAAGTAGAATTGAAGTAGATGTTAGTCGAATTTTACATACAGAAAAATTTTCTTGAATGCGAATGAATATTTTTTTCTGATAAATGATTGACTTTTTTTATTTCGAGACTGTATAGCAATGCTGCTAGAAAAAAAAATATTAAATGAAATATTTTCATCACAATAATCTTTCATTTTTTTAATTTCAAAAACTTTCTTAGAAGAGTTCAAAGAGATTATCAAAAAAAGATTCATCTCGTTACATTGATTTATTTATTTTAACTAAATAACTCATAAATAAACGAATCACTATTTTAATACTTGGAACAATGATCCTTTAAGGATTCGGAACAAATCAGTCAAGCTTATTATCTATCCACTCGATGTTTATTTCATGTTACTTTTACGATTTTATTCTTCAAAATTAAGTACTTAAACAATAACCACATTCTCTCCTTTGCTTGTTCTTCTTCTTTAATATTCAATAACATTCTTCTTAAAGATTTGTTAATAGGCTAAAGAATAAACTTTCTATAGGAGAGTCAGTAGAGGATAGAGTCCATTGAGTAGGTCATGCATACTGCCAGCTATTGATCTAGATTCAAAACTTCTGGAGTCAACTTCCTCTAGCTAATAGCTAACAGTGAGAACCAGCTATAAATTTATTATTATAAAATCATGATCAAGACTCAATGAGACAAGTGTAGAATTTGATAGTTGCAGAATAGAAATACTAAAAGAGAACAAGTATTTCCTATCTTCGAAGTCGGGGTGTGGGTGTCGATGTACACATTTCCTCTAGCTACACCCACACCCACACCCTTCATACAAATATTTATATTTAATATAGTTAATAAAAATAATTTTATTATAGAAAAAAAACAAAAAAGTATAATTTTATTCTAAAGTTTTAGTTTAAAAAAATTCTATTATTATTCCAAATCTATCTTTTATTTTTATAAAATCTGTCTATCTTAATTAATAAGTATTTTGTTTTTTTTTTAATTTTAACTGAATAGAATAAAAGAAAAGAAAGAGATAAACATTTTACGAAAATTTCATTAAGTTTAAAGTTCTAGTAAATAAACTAAATTGTCTCTTAAAGACAGAATTTTTTATATTGAAGAAAAGAAGAAGAAGAATTCTATGATTTATTCTATAAGTGTTTTTATTTTCTATGAAAATAAAATTATTCTCTTGTAAAATGAGAGAAATTTGATGATTAATCTCATTTAAAATACTTCTAAAATGTTTAAACAAAAAAATTCGAATATTTTATATTAAATCGATATTGTTTTTAACTGTAGAAAGAGTAAAAAAAATTTTTAAGATTTTTTGTTTTTTCTATTGTTACTAAAGCGTTTTTTTTCTATCTAATATGAACTTAAATAATATCTATCTATTAAAATAAT